ACACAGACAGACACAGACAGACGCAGACAGACACAGACAGACGCAGACAGACACAGACAGACACAGACAGACAGGCAGGCAGGCAGACAGACAGACATAACGACTTACATAGACATACACCTCCATGTAGACATGCACAGCCAAAAATCAACAAGCATATAGACAGAGAGATAGGCATGTAGACAGATAATTCTGCAGCGATGCCATGCAGTAAATGTATAGCTGCAGACCCTAGAGGATATTGACACGAACGCTGCCTCGGTTGAAATGGCTCCTGTTCATGCCCGGATCCGAATGACGGACTTTGATGTCGACGAGCTCAGTACCACCTGGCGTGGTAACAACCTCGCTTGATGACGAGTGCAAGCAGTGCAACTGCGCCAACGGCAATGACAACAAGACCGAGACCGAGAGTCCGGCGAAGCGCTCGAACCACTGGTAGTCCAAGGTCGGACCCTCGAAAGTGCTAGCCCAAATAGTCATCTCGGGCGTCTGCAGCATTGGCATGAGCTTGTAGTTGGGGAACCAGAACTTAATCTTCTTGCCGCCATACCACGTGATAGGGTCTCCAACCACAGACACGCTGAAGCCTCCGTTCCCGTCTTGACTGAGCACAACCGGCACCGTCACCTGGTCAACGTTCGATGACACCGAAAAGCTGATGGACCCAGCAGGGGCATTGTTGAAAGACGCCTGCAAACCACTATCCGCTGTGACTGACGTGGAGACCGTTGATCCTGCCGGACACGGATTTCCTGGGCTTGAGGCATCCTCGAGGAACAGAGTCATACTCAAACCATCGGACGCGATGCTGGCACCCGTCACATCACAAGTGCCGGCCAACCTTCGCGGGCCACGAGCTTCCAAGCGTCGCACCAGGGTGGTCGAAGTAGTTGTTTCGTTCGCATCAGATGTGTCCGAATCGTACGTAGTCGTGGTCACCGTGGTAGTCGTGTAAGTTACCGTTGTGCCACCAGCTGATGTGAAAGTCAAGTTGACTGCGTCACTGCCACTAACCGTAATCAACCCTGATGGCAAAACAATGGTGGCCTCTGTAGTTCCGGCGCTCACAGTCTGAAAGCCAATGTCAATGGCTTGCAGTGGAGAGCCGGAGATGACAGGCTGGCCGTCTGTACCAATGGCTGATATTGAAACGGCATTGAGTTGGCCGGCTTCTGCCACGAAACTCAATGACAGGCCGGCCACAACTTTCCAGAACATCATGGCTGCAGCACTACTAGAGGAAGATATTCGTCGTGCTGGCAATCACAAATTGCCGGCAATTGAGCACAGAAGCACTGCAGCGGGCGGACCTTAGTCCTGTCATTCTACAAAATTCCTGGTGCACCAGCGCATCACGTCGTGCCGGAAAGCTGCAGACATCTCTGCATCCGCGATATCTCTTTTTTCTCTTTGCTTTTGAGGGTTGAAGGGGCCCCGTCCGTGCGGCATGCCTCGACTGGCGGAAGGGTCTCGTGTGTGTTGTCGGCGCTGACTGCTACGCCCTCCCTTTCTGGTCTCTCGCTAGTTTTCTCCCATGACCTCTCTCTCTCTCGTTTTGCTCTCGTTTTCAGCACAAACGCTTTCTCCCTCTCTCTCTCTCTCTCTCTCCCTCCCTCGTTCTCTTCACAAACACGCAGAACAAGTCCACAAGCAGGGCTCAGGCGGACGCAAAACAACGAAATTCGTGCACAAAGCAAATCGTTCACGCTCTGTTGCTTGGAGGAACCTCACGACTTCTTCGTGGATACATGTATGTCCAGTTTGCATGCGGTAGTACTACATTAATGCACAGTAGCACAGTCGTGGTGGTGTTCCGTGAGGCCGAAAAACGCGACAAAAGTCTTGAAATCTCTTTTCGACTTCCAAGATTTTGCACAAGGTTCGTTTTGTCGCGAAAGACGCTCTTTTAGCGAGACAAGATTTTGCGAGAGAGTTCTAGGGTTCTACAAGGCCGGAAAAACAAAGAATCTTCGAAAAGTTCGACCCCGGTTGAGAAGGCACGCAGGAGCATACCCCGCAGGGGCGGGTTGGGGGTTGGGGTTGAACCCAGGTTGTAACCCCAGGGGCCGGGTCCAAGGGCGGGTCCAACAACCTGAACCTGAGGTTGTGGGTTGGGGTTAACCCCAACCTTAATCTCAGGTTAGGGTTGGGG